TATCCTGGGTCCCTGGGGGGCCCCTGAGCCTCTGTGTGACTTCTCCACTCTGGCTGAGTGACAGATGAGGGGAACTGGCCCAGGAGGCCTCCCTGTCCAGCTTTCTTGCTTTCCCTTAAGAAGCCCTAACCACACCGGGCTCTCAGAAGGGAAAGAGCCTGCAAGGGAAACACCCGGTTGTGCCCGTTTCTGGAACTGCTTGGAGGAGCCTCAGGCAGGAAGAGCTGGCGAGGTCCCAGAAGAGGAGGATGGGGTCTGGGAAGAGGGGGGCAGGACGTGACACGGATCCCGGCAGCCCTGCCAGTGGGGACCTTTGCTCCCATCGGGAAGGGCAGGCCCTGGGCTCAGATGGAGGCCTGAGATGAGAGACGGTCTTGCTTCCTGTTCTCCTGTCACATATCCGGGGGCTCAAAATAAGTCACAGCCTTTTCTACACAGAGTCCTGTTTCTCTGACCCCAAGTAGGTCACTGCGTGGGGGGCTGGGGCGTGGCAGGCAGCCATGAGCCACCAAGTTGAGTTTTGTGAATTTGTCCCAATGCATCTTTTGCACTTGTCACCCGCTCTGCCTGGCACAGCCCCTCCTCCACAGTTGGAGGAGGATATATATTCTGTTTTTCACAAATCAGATGGAAGTGACCCAAGGGTTGGGCCATCTAGAAAGTTCTCCATTCATGAAAGAAATCTTATTCTTTAAAAAAATTTATTTATTTATTTATTATTTTATTTTTTGGAGGGAGAAGAAATTAGCTTTTTATTAATTAATTTTTAATGGAGGTACCAGGGACTGAACCCAGGACCTTGTGCCTGCTGGACACGTGCTCTACCACTGAGCTATACCCTCCCCCTAGGAATCTCCTCATTCTTGAAAGATGAAGTTAAACCCCTCCAATGACGGAGAGCTCACTCCCTTGCAAGGGACCTCATTCTTCTTTTCAACAACTCCAAATGTTAGGAAGTTATTATCCAGCTGCTCCTGGAATCTCTCTCCTATTGGTTTGAGTTGGCCAAACTTTTGGTAAGATCCTTCATCTACCTGACAGAACTTTTGAAGTTCCAAAGCCTGTTCTAATGTATTCCTTAAGCCTTCTTCTCCAGGCTTCTTTTCATTTGTTTCCCTTGGGGGGCGGGCAGAGTTATGGTTACTTATTTATTTATTTTAACAGAAGCACTGGGGATTGAACCCAGGACCTGTGCATGCTAAGCACAGCCTCTCCCACTGAGCTATGCCCTGCCTCCCTGCACCTGCTTTGGCCTGTCCTCAATGGCCTCATCCTTCCTTTCCCTCCCCCTCTGCTGCAGATCTCTTTGCTGTCAGCACCCCAACTCCCTTAGCACATTGGGGTCTCCCTTAGCACATTCCATGGGGAGCAGGTCATACCCTGCTTGGCCCCATGGAATACTGGGACCAGCGGAGGCTTCACTCACATGAGGTGCTCAGGAGCCCCTGAGGTTGGGGCCTGTGGGCCCAGGTCCCTACCCCTTCCCCATGGTCACCTCTGGCCCCCAGAATGAGGACTCAGTTACCCTAGGAGGCCCAAGCTGAGTGGACTCTTGATGAGAAGCTGGCCTCAGTCCTCATGGTGGGCCACGCTCACCCCCAAGCCCCCCACCAGCCATGAGCCTGGGCCGCTCAAAGCTGCAGGGGGGCCGAGGGACACTGTGACTTTCCCAGAAGATAACGGGGGAAAAGGCAGGTGATGCTCAAGATGATTTTTATATTAAGACAAACATACACATGTTATGTAACAATGTAGAAGCATCAATTTCAAAGCCATAACATGAGACTTCAGAGGAGTTTCACACTATGGGGAAGCTGCTTCAGGCTGTTTCTTTAGAATTCAGTTTCCAGCCTCCCGACTGGCCCGCCCCCTCTGCTGAGGGTATTTGGACAGAAAACTTGGAGAGGCTCTGGGTTTCTGAGTTTCTTGGAGAAACTCAATCTCCTTTGCTATTAAAGTGAGGCTGCTGAGGACCAAGGTAAGAGAATCAGTTAGCCTGCGGACACGGAGCTTGGAGTTTGGATTTGAAACCCAAATCTGTTCTTTTCCCAGAAATGCTGCACTGGGTTTATAAGAGTGTTCCTGGTGGCAAGGCAGGACATCTGAACACAGAAATCTGTGTTAGGGGATTTGGGTTAGCCCTTGGTCATACAGAAAACTTCAGTTCAAAGACCAATTTTATTCAAAGAGTCAGTGCTCTGGGTCCTGAGCAGAGTAGATCCTGTTCAATGACAGCAGGAAGTTTCCTTTCCTCTTTCATGGCCCATCACTCCCCGTCCAGGAAAGAGGTGAACAAGGAAGAGAAGTCCAGCTTTAGGGAATGAAAGGAAGAAGGCGGAGATGCACAGGGAACTATAGTCAGTATGTTGTAGTAACTTACGGGGAAAAAGAATATGAAAACGAATATATGTATGTTCCCATATGACTGAAGCTCTGTGCTGTACACCAGAAACGGACGCAACCTTGTAAACTGACTCTACTTCAATAAAAATATATATATTTTTTAAAAAAGAACCTTATACTCAAAAAAAAAAAAAAACCAAGGCAGAGATGACAGCCAGGCTGGTGAGAGGCTGCCCGGGACTCCATGTCCAGATAGAGGAGGACTGATGTGTTCAAACAGCCAGCAACCCTTCAAGTCTCCCTTGCTCACACACCACCAGCTGTACCTGCACATGTGAACACACACACACACACACACACATACACACACACACACACCTCTTGCGCTCAGGGTCACAGATGCCCAGAAGCTTATGATCAAGCAGAGACTCACAAATTAAAAATGTAGAGGACCATGAAAGATCTGAGTTCTGGCCTCCCCACCAAGTGACCAGCCACTGACACTTGCAATAAGAACGGGAAGGGGGATCAGCCTTAACCGGGAAGTTGAGTAAGTGTGGCTTCCTTTTGACATTATTAAATAAGGGTCAAAGGTTTGTGTTTTCTACAAAGGCATCTGACATTTTTATAAGTTTGTGACACCCAACTGTCAAAATCTTAAGCCACGAATGTCTGCAGGCTGTCTTGGTGCCATCACCTCTCACAGAAGTGCAACTCTCAATGTAGCGTAATCAAGTCAATTAATCCTGTTTAATAAATAAGCCAGAAAATTAGCTGAGAGTTCTTCTCGGCGGGATGCGGCGTGCGACCAAAGTTATGGAAGATTGTCCCTTGAATCACTAAGGCAAACTTTGTTGAGTGTCATTTTACATAAAGCAATCACATAAAAAAAGACTTATAAATAGAAAAAATTCCCAAGTTCTCCCACAGACAGACAGGGAAATCGAAACATTCGAAAAAAAAAAAAGGAAATAAAACAAAACACAACCACCCCTATCCCCATGACCCATTTGCTTCAAGTTCTTGATCATACAGTACTCGACATCTTTGGATATTTTACAATATACAACTCCAAACTGCAGCCAAGAGAAAACAAAAAGAACTAACCAGTCGTCTGAAAAATTGAGTTTATAAGAAGTCATTACCTTTACAAAATAAAAACCAAAAGCCCCAACACCACTGGATTCTAATTTGTTCGTTTTTCCTTGTTTTCTTTTGAAGTTTGGGTCAGCCCCACTCCCTTGGTGACGGGGAGTGGGGACACGGGTATGTTGGCTGGTGGGTCCCAGAAGCGAGTGTCAGAGATGGAGACGGGGAGCGGAGAGGCTACTGCCCGGGCGGATGATGTCTGAGGACAGGAGGGTGCCAGGGAGGGTGCCAGCAGCAGTGCCCTCGGGCTGAGATGGCAGCTGGCGGTGTGTGGAGTCAGGGGTCTCTTTGAGGGGAGCTGGGACAGTGACGGAGTCTGTGGTCTTCTCTGGCCTTTTTGTTGTTTGTGTTTGCTTGGGGAGAAGCCAAGGCCGTAGGAAGAGCCCAAGTCCCTTGTGCCCACAGCTCCTGGGCTTGGGACACCAGCCCCGGGCCATCCGTGCAGAGGAATGCTCCTCCCTTCTGGGCCACTGAGATACAAAAGCAAATTCAGCAAGAAAAGGGAGGGAAAAGCAGGAAAAGGGAGAGAAGATCAGGAAGGCACTGGGCCAGCAGAGCTATCTTCCTTCTCAGGACCTCCTACAAACTGGAGAGCCGGGGAGAGGCTGTGGACAGACCACGCTCACAGAGCCCTCCAACTCATGCTGAGCCGAGGCTCTGACTCCCCACACCGGGCACCCGGATCCCTCCCCAGGGGAGCAGGGAGGGGTTGAGGGGCTGTTCAAACACAGCGAAGCCAAAGCCCCGAGAAGCCCACAACTGAAAAGCAAACATCCACCTGGGTAACTGGGTGTTTTGTTTGTTTCCAGGAATCAGGTGGAGGGAGGCAGTTGCCAGGAGTTAAGAGGTGGCCCCCCTCCCTTCTACACTGGCCCCAGGAGTCCTGAAAGACTCCTTAAGGCATTGCAGGGAGCACGGAGAGGGGGGCTGGGGGGGATGCTAAGTGGCTGTCCGCAGATGCGCATAGTGGCGCGAGGAGGGTAGGATTTGCAGTTCCCCAAAGCTGCCTGGGGGCTGTGGACAAGCCGCACCCCAACCCTCTCCCTCTGCCACCCCTGCCTAGTGTGGCCACATTCCTCACCTGTGGATGTGACAAAACTAAACGCAGTAAGACGTGACACCCGGGATGTTAGGAATGCAAAGCTCCTACTCTCTCAAGGCCTCTCTCTGGAGGGATGGGTGTGTGTGTGTGTGTGTGTGTGTGTGTGTGTATCGGGGGAGGGGAGCAAGGCAATGAAATTAGCGGCCCCCTTCCACAGCAGGGTGAAGCTGGGGTACGGAGGGCTCATCTGTCAGAGATCGCACGACAGTGATGGAAAAGTAGGCCTGGACTCCAGGAGACTCGGGCCTCATTCCTGACTCCAGGAGGCCTCCCTGCCAACAGGGCATATCCCCCCAGGATCCCAGGGCTGCTGAAGACTGGAAAAGTGGCCCATCAGAGCAGTGTCAGCAGGGACTCCACCGCAAAGCGGCAGGGCTCACGGGGTGTGTTCCTCAGGACCCTACCTTCATCCCTGCTCCACCCGGTCGGCCTCTGGCCAAGCCACCACCCTCCATCTACCCCCCACAGCTCCAAAGTGCTCCTGGGCACCCAGCTGGGGGGCTCGGCTGTGGCACTGGCCCCTGCGAGCTTCTGTGAGAACAGAGAGACAGCCAGGGAGAGGCCAGGCCCATTGGGAGATGCCTATCTCAGACACCAGCAGAGGGGAGGCAGCTGCCTCAGGAGGCCCAGAAAATTCCATGGCTGCTGGATTGTTTCCTTTTTCCTTTGTGATTCTGAAATAAAAAGTTCAGACCCATCGGATGGGGCAGGTGGGCCTGGGAGGAGAAAGGGGGGCAGGGAATCAGGACCGGGGTTGACAAGGACCAGCCTAGTTGTTGGCTTCAGACATGGAGGCCACGTGGTTGAGGCCGGCCAGCCCGGGGAGGCCGGCCAGGCCCGCGGCCCAGGGGTCGGGCAG